ATTATTTTGGTACTGGGAATTGAACTCAGGACCTGGTGCTTGCCAGGCAGTTGTGGCATCACTGAGCTACATCCCTAGTGTAGAGTACATATTATTATTTCAAGACATTATTCAAAGTCAGAGCTGCAAATACACACATGTATGTATTCATGCTCTTGATGTGTTTAATTGCAAAGCATAATGAAGCCTTACCTTCTTATCAAAAAGAGGACACCTTGGGCTGGAGATTTAGCTAAGTGGTTCTACTGCCTGCTTTGCAAGCACAAGGACCTGGGTTTGATCCCCAGTATAAAGAAAAAAAAATACCTTCCCCACTATTATAAATTTAGAAATAAATGGATATAGGCTATTCTGAAATGTTTTTGTTTTTCCAAGGGATTTTATTTACTATATCATCAGCCCACTAAAACCAATAATGCTAACTTTCTTACAATGTACTTAAGGGCTTAAAGAGAATGTATTCAGACCAAGAAAGCATACAGTAATAACATGAAAATAAATTCTAAGAAAATAGTGACAACTTCATAGAAAATTATAGTTGAGCTGGACCTTTGCTGTAGTAAAATGACAGTAATTAATAAGTTCATTTTACTGTATATCAAAATTTTATTTTGTTTCAGGAATAATTTTTCAATGAAAAGCAAGGTTTTTTTTCTTTCAAATTATAGTATACAGAAACTTTAAATGTGTACTTAGGGCTGCAGTTGTAGATTAGTGGTAGAGTGCTTGCCTAAGGCCCTAGGTTTGACACTGCCGTGCCACAAGAGTAATCTATAAATAATTTCAGTAATGACATTGTCAGAAGTTATTTTCATAAAACAAAGAATGCTTAATTACGCACCAACTATTTTATGTGGTTTTGAAAATCTAGTTTTTCTTATAGCTGATTTAAAAAATGCAAAGTGCCATGCATGATACATGCTGGTAATACCAATACTCTGGAGGCCAAGGCTGGAGGATAGCTGCAAGTTGAAGGCCACCCTGGGCTACATACATAGTGAGTCAAAGCCATGTGAACTATGAAGCAAGATCCTATCTCAAAAAACAACAACCAAAAAAAAAGCATAGTTATTTAAGAAGCACACATTAAAAATTTGCATCTAAATAAAGAAGTTTTTGGAGGGAAAGGTATAGGGGATTAAACCCAGGGACATTACACTAAGCTACATCCTTTCTTTTAAAAAAAATTTGGGGTTCAGAGTCTTGCTGAGTCACTAAGTTGCATAGGTTGGGCTTATTACCTTATTACCCTCTTGCCCTAGCCTCCCGTATACTGCTAGGCTCAAAATAAAGATCTCTTAGAAATAGTTTTTAAAACATTTTAGTAAAAGTTATTTTAATAAAATCACTGATTTGAGTAGATTTTTTTTGAGCCTTACCACTGTTGAGTTTGATCTGCTGTACATTATAGCCAATACTTTTGGCAATCTTTTCCCACAGCTTATTTTGAAAAATTTAAACTCATGGGGAAGTTTCAAGGAGTTTTGTTTGTGTTTTTCTTAGTTTCAAGTATGGATAGCATGTGATAAAATACAATAATCTTAGGTATTCAGTGTAAGTTTTGGAAAGTTAAATGCAAGTGCCACCCTAAACAAGATATAAATTATATCCATGATGATCTGGATGTTGATTTACTGCTTGCTACTGGGCTTCTGGATCCTCCAGTGAACATAATAAGGAAAATATACAGATAATACTGTTCAAGTCCATTACTGGAGGATTTTTCCATCTTTCTCCATGACATATATCAGACTCCCTGTCTTGAGGGGCGGGTAGAAAAAAAGAGCTGTGGATGTAGATTAGTGTGAAGACCCTGCACTCAACTCCCAATACTATAAGAAATTAAAGTCTAATTTTTTTTTTGGTACCGCGAATCAAACTCATGACCTTGCTGTGTTTGCCAGGCAGGTGCAGCACCGCTAAGCTAAATCCCCAGCCCAAAGTCTTTTTTTTTTTTTTTTTTTTTTAAGAACAGCATATTTTTAGAAGACCCCCATAATCTAGTGGCTAAGGCTTTAGTTTTAGACAGGTAATGAATGATTTATCTCAGAATAGGCCTATTATTATTTCTTTAATTTTAAGTTTAAGTTGCAGTTTCCTCTACTATGTGAGATATTAGAATCATGTGTGCATATTATTATTCAATGAATGGTGGTAGTTGCTACAATAATAGAATAATGCCTTCATTATTTTGTGATTTTTTTCAGAAAGGGAAGACAAAAGGAAGTATGAGAGAAAAAATAGACAGTAAAGCTCAACTGATAGCAAAAACATTTATTTCTATTTGACTTAATAATTCTTAAATGACTTTTTTTCTGAAATGACTTTTAATTGTGAAAAAACCTCATGCTACAAGATAAACCAGCAGTAAGTCAGGATAGTTGCTACTTTACAAGAGTGATTTTAAAATTCTGTTCTGAATTAGTTTGATTTTTGAAGTATTAACTACAATGTAGTCTAACTTCAGATTTTGTGATTTTTAGCTATTAGAGATATAAGATCTACAACACAAAATTTTTGAATAGAAGATCCTTTGTTTTTGGGTTTTTTTGTTTTTTTTTTGGTACTGGGGATTGAACTCGGGTCCTTGCACTTGAAAGAAGATCTTTTATAATTCATAATTCCTGTTGCCAGGCACTGAAGGATAGCACAGAAATTGAAATTGTGGATGAGAAAATGAGAAAAAGGGTAGAACCAGAAAAATGGCCAATCCCAGGCCCTCCTCCACGAATTGTGCCACAAACAGATTTCTCTCAACTGATTGATTGTCCAGAGTTTGTACCAGGACAAGCCTTTTGCTCACCATCAGGTAACAGCTTTTCTTCTAGAGCAAACTATGTAATGGTGGGCTATTTGATCCATTTTACCTCTTTTTAGTCTTTCTTGTATTTTGTAGGAAATTAAAGATGACTATATGACTTTTGATGCTTTAAATTTTATTTACATTGCCTCCCATGCAGAGCTATGATTTAAATAGAGATCTACGAATTATTGAAGCTCTTATGTTTCTTGTTCTTAAATAATATGAGTACTTTATCATGTTTGGAATTTCACCTACCTGTCTTTTAATTTTATTCAATGATTGTAAATACATTGTGCCAGTTTCCCCCTTCTAAAATTGGAGTAGTCTAAAAGTTTTATACTCTAGAGTGAGACAGCCTTTCTTTAACTTTGCTAACAATGTGCTATGAGTTAGCCTTCCTTTAACTTTATCATTGTGCTGCAAAATTGTCTTGCAGTAATATGATGACCCATATTTTGAAAGAGAATTAGGGTTCTCTTTAATCTGATTGTGTTTAGAATTTCCCAAAACCTCTTTAGTGTTAAGAACTTTTTCCTGGATCATTTTTAAGATGTTCCCTCTTGGGGAAAAAAAAATATGTGCTTAAACTTTTTTCAGTCAGGGTGGTGATCTACTGATGCTCTTGGATGTCATTTGATCGGAATATGCAGTGGAATAGGTGACTCACTGAAATGCCATTGTAAATATTGGAACAAATTGTGCTGTGGAAACGAAAGCAACCAGACTGTCTCCTGTACAACAGTGTCTACTCCCAAGCCTCTGTGGAGGAGGCTGGGCCAACACTACAGTGGAGATAACCACCTTTGCGATGATGATGTGAGACAAACCCGAGGACTGCTATTATCATAGGAGCTTCCCATTTCTACGTAATTGGCCTGGGCTGCATGGGCTACTTTTCTTTATGGTGGGAAAGTTAATTATTATCACTGTGGAAATTCTACAAGATCTTTTTGTTTCCAGGCATATGTACTTGTCTCCATATTAATAAAAAGCAGGAAAAGAGAGGACTGAGAAGCATTTCCCAAATTGTTAGGTCTTTTTCATATTTGATTTCGGTATAGTATATGTTATGTAATACACATTGTCATGGTGTTTCACGTGGACTATAGGATTTATTGATGTGGACAACTAAGGGCGAAGAAATTTAAGAAATGAACAAGGGAAGTATTTGCTTTACTGTTGGAAATGTATTTTTGATACATCAATATGAGAGACTCGCTCGTTGATAAAACTAACGATGGACAGTCTCACAAATATTTTTATCTCGTGTTACCATCTCGTATTTTTTTGTCTTCTCTCTGCTTCTAATCCCAGTAAGAAACTTGCACAAGTGTTTTTAAAAGTTGAAGAAAAGTGATATTGTTTGTTTAGTTTTTAGCTTTTTTGAAAGATGTAATGGCTGATTGTATAAATTAGAATTATTTATTGTATAAAAGTGGGGTCCAAGATGACATTTTTAACCAGCACATAATCGTTGGTAAGTTGGATGATATAGAAATATTTTTTCCACATGCTAGTTAAGTCAGTCAAGTTGGTGATGCCTGTCCATTAACCATTTATGTCTTATTAATAAAATTACAGTAAAATTATGTTTTGTACATTTTGTATTTTTTAACATACACTTAGAGGCATACAAATACCTGCAGAAATCAGCTCAGTGCATATTAAAATATCAACTATTAGGATCATATACACCAGACTGTAGTAGTACATGAAGAGATAAAGATAGAAGTATTATTTAGAATCATACCAGTTCATATTGCCACAGGAATAAATATGTAAATCACCTTTTCCTGGGAATCTAAATTTCTTTTTTTTTTTTTTCTTTTTATTGAGTTTATTGGTACAATCTAGGTATACAGTACAGTTACATTCATTATTGGGATTTTGTACCTTTATATAATAGGTCTTGATTCTCATTTTTTCCCCTTGTCCCTGCCCTCCCTTCACCCCCTCCTACCCTCCCCATTTACAAACACTTTATTTCCATTTTTTCAGTTTCTCATATTTTTTTTCCTCTCCCTTATTACCTTTCCCCCACCCTTCCCACTTTCCCTACACCTTTAGCCCTTTACTTCGTATTTCACATTATTAATTATCTCATTAGGATCCTGTGTACTATTATAGTTTTTCACACCAAAGAAACTATTCGGTATTTCAGTTAAAGAATCTCTGTATGAACATTAAAAATAGGGAAACCTATAATAAAACTAAAGAGGAAAGTAAAAGAGAAAAGGCAATGATGTAGGATTAAAATAATCCTTAATTTTGGAGATGAAAATGGTCCCTGAACATATTTAAATTGCTTCTTGCTCTTTATAGTCTTATTCATGTTTTTTCATTATTTAGAGAATACTTTATTAGTTTCTGTAATCAAACCCACGTAGATATGATGTTACCCCTGTATACATGGAAAAAAAATAAAAATAAAAAAAATTAACTTTTCTAGACCAATATGGGAATCTAAATTTCTGACCTTCATAATCCTCTGCTTGTACTAAGAAAGCCTAGTTCCCTAAAATCAATGGAGAAGTTGAATGTCAGCAAAACTTTGAAGTTGAAACAAGATAGAAAGCCTAGACTGTTTTTTTAGGTAGAGAAAAGTAGTAAAACTGTTATCTATATCTGTTGATCTCAATTTAGAAGACCTTAAAACTTTTTTAAAGCCCATAATGGTAAAATATTTTTAAACATAATTAATCCTCTTCATCAGAGAAATTAAATTTTCTATTTTTTCCTCTCTGGAGGTTGAATTGTTTAACACGAGTTGACATTGCACTGAGCAGAAGACCTTAATGCACCACAAAAGGTTGATAATTAGAACAGTAACATTCCTTTTGAAATGCAGGCTCTGCTGTGCTATGGATACAGTATTGCACAATCTACTCTTAAATAAAAGAATTTCATCAGAGTTGAAAAGCCAGGCACCTGACAATCTTGATTTTGGGGGAGGGACTTTTAAAAAAATGTATGAGACGATCCAATGATTATTAGATAAGCTGTGGGATTTCCTTTGGAAATGTTCTTCAAAATGTTACACATAAAATATACAGTCCTTTTAAAGAAACTTTTGTAATTAACCAGAGCTGTGGTCCTTCCAAGGTAGAAAACAAAGCAGTACTAGATAATACAAATTTATGATGATTTATTTTTGGAGAGCCAAGATGACAATTTTCATTTAATAAAACCAGCAAAGATCAGTTTTGTATGTTCTCACAGGTTAACACCTAAGTGTTGAAGAAGTTTTTTTAATCTGTATAAGTTTAATATCAGATAATATAAATCATATTAAAGTCATTTAGATTTGGAAGATTAGGAGTTTGCTATTCTTAAACTTTACAAATGTAGCTGAGTGTGGTGGTACACACTTGTGATCCCAGCACATCGGAGGCTGAGGCAGGAGGAGCGCCACAAGCCTGAATTACATAGTGAGATCCTGTCTCTTAAAAAAAATTTTACAAATGTACGGTTTGAAATATTTTCCATCTGAAAGAAAATACAGGTACAAAAAACCTAGGACATATACATATGATCCTGTCTCTTAAAAAAAATTTTACAAATGTACGGTTTGAAATATTTTCCATCTGAAAGAAAATACAGGTACAAAAAACCTAGGACATATGCATATAGCTTTTTTAATTTAAAAATTTTTTTCTTATATGTTTGTAGTATGTGATGATTTCATTCATTATGGGGAGTTGGTACATGTTCATAACACACAATTCTTTTTACATCCCTTCCCCTTGTGTATAGCTGATCATTATATAAATCCTTTTAAAGTCTCACTGTAAGACTTGTAAATTTTCCTGTCTACCCAAATTTTTTGGTGTTTTAATACTTCATTTTCTAAGCACATGTAAATATAATCAAATACCCTTGTGATGGAAGCATATAATTCATGCTCAAGAAACTTTAGAGATTATTACATAATAAAGTGTTAGGATATTAAAAGATTAAATTTTTGCATTAATGACAGTAGCTTTTGATTTTCCTACCATGTGCCAGGTGCTGTACTTCTCATTTATACATGTACTGTATGTTGTAAGTCAATTCTCCCAATCTGCATTTGTGAAACTGAATTGATACAAGGATAGAGACTGATTGTTTTTAAGATTTTAGTATGGATATAGATAAATCATAGTATTAGAACATTTCCCCATTACTATAACTTTATGAGTATGAAACAGTCTATACCCTGTGTTTCACTTACAGTATTTTTGTTAATGAGTTGGTACCATTAATTTAAATTTTCAAAGTTTTTAATGAGATGCACTAATAATTTAAGAAGTTGTAGCTTGTTATCGTAATGCTCATCTATAAACAAGCCTAGGAAACTTAAACCCTGTCTGAAAATGAAAAGCTATGGACATACCTCAGAGTAGTGTACTTGCCAAGCATGCACAAGGGCTCAGGTTCTATCACCAGCACTAAAAAGGGAGGGGCTTAGAATAGCAGCCTCCAATAGAAATATGTGAACTATATACATAATTTAAAATTCTAAATTAACTTTTCAGTAGATATTACTTTGCTGAAGATGGATCCTGAGGTCCCATACATGGTAGGTGAACACTACCATTAAGCTATACCCCCAAAACTAGATAGTTTAGAAACTTGGCATGGTGTCATTCACCTCTCAGCCCTTGGAAGGTTGAGGCAGGAAGATCACTGGGAGTTCAAAAGCCACATAATAATTCAAGATCAGTCAGGACTCCATAGTTAGGACCCTATGTCCAAAATATTTTAAGGTGAAAATATAGACTTAAACTTCACTTCTAAAAAGATACTTATAAAGCAATTTGAATTTTACTCATGGAGTATGTGATTCTTTTGATTAGAAACTGGCAAAAACGCAGCCAGACATGGTGGCACACACCTGTAATCCTAACACTCAGGAGGCCAAGGCAAAAGGATTGCCATGAGTTCAAGGCCATCCTGGACTACGTAGTGAGTTCAAGGCCAGCCTGAACTGCATAGTAAAACCCTGTCTAAACCAAACCAACAACCCATACCCAACAAACTTGCACAAGTGCTAATGTTGAGAAGAAAGGCCTTTTAAATTGTAAGTTTTATTCAAGTTGGTTTTGAGGTTTGATCTCAGTGTCTTTGCACTGAGGTATATATATTCTTAGCTATTTTTTTTTTCTTTTTTGAGACAAGGATTTGTTAAATTGCCAAGACTGGGCTCAACTTTTATTCTCCTGACTCAGCCTTGGGAATCTTGGAATTACAGGCATGTACCACCCCATCAGGCCTGCCCCCTCACCCTCCTTCCTGGGAGCTGAACCCAGGGCCTTTACACCAAGCTACCTCCCCAGCCCTTTGTACTTTGATTTTTGAACTGCTAAGTTATTCAAGCTGTTTGTTCTCAAACACGATCCTCCTGCCTCAGTCTTTCAGAGTGCTGAGATTACAGGTGTGTGCTATAATGCCTGACCTACACTTTCGCTTTTAAAATTTCTAAATTTTATGCCACAAGCCTTGTACTTTAATATGGTCACCTTTTATGCTTTTCAGTGTTCAGTATGAGCCAAGGTAGTAAGTGGGCATGCTCATTTAGTGCATTCAGGCAAACTTTTAAGTGAACAAAATGTGAAAAATAGGAGTAATGGTTGCTTTAGATTCTATTCAGTGAGGGAAAGTTTTTCCTTAAGTAATATATGTATTTAGACCAAATGGCTTAACAGCAATTGAGATTCCTTAATTGTAGTTTATAGGTTTTAATCAGTCACAGATAACTTGATTCACAAATGATTTAGCAGCATAGTGACTCACGACATTCTAGAAATTTGAATGTGGTGGTCTGTGTAAGGATCGGTGGTGATATTCCTTATGTTTATTATTCAGTGGCTATTCTTTTGCATAAATATTATTAAAAGAACTTTGTGTTTGAAAAATAATCTGGAAAGATTTTAGTTGAGATTGACTTGTTGTGTTTTGTGAAAAAAATACCAAGGAACAAATGAAATGTAAATAGGAGAACCTATTATTTTAACTGTAGAACTAATTTAAAATTTTAGAGTCTGCCCCAAATTCTCCAAGAATTGGAAGTCCCTTGATTCCAAAGAAAAATACTGAAACAAGTAGTCTTCAAGCAATGTTTAGAGGTTTGTCTACCAGTTTACCTGACTTGGATTCAGAACCTTGGATAGAAGTAAAGAGGCATCACCTGCCCCCAATCAAATTAAAGGTAAGTTGCTATAAACCAGATAAAATGTGATACTTTCTTGGTTGAGTGTAAGGTCAGAGACTTTTCTGTTTGTCAGATACACATGCTAGAAATGCATGTGTCTGCCATCGTGCCTGGCTATGTGCATGTTAACATCCTGAAACCCCTTTCTCAAACTCTGTAAAGATGCCAAGTAATTTCTACAATTTGTCAGGGTATACTTTTCATTGAAGTGGCTTAGTTTTGACAGCCCTGTCAATGTACTACTTTTTTTTTTTTTGTACTGGGGATTGAACTCAGGACCTTGCCCTTGCCTGGCAGGCACAGTTACCACTGAGCTAAATCCTTGGCCCCAAAATTATCTCTCTCTTTGGGGTGGGAGTATCAAGGATCAAACTCAGATTCTTGTGCTTGCAAAGCAGAGAGCAGAACCACTGAGCTAAATCCCTGGCCCAGTGTACATTTTTAAAAGCACAATATTAATTGATACATTTTAGGCATAATAATGATAACACTCATCATAGGGAATTTGTACATCCTGCCTCTTCTCCCAACCTTCCTTCAAGTTCCCTCCCCTCCCTATGTACAAAAAAGCTTTGTTTCCATTTTTCTGTTCTGTTTTCTCCTGATTTTCTTGTTCTTTCCTTCCTTTCTCTCTTCCTCCTTTATTCCCCTTCCTATTGAACATTTTCTTCCCATTTCCCAATATCTGTTAACACATTTTAGTCCTCATTTTCACTTTCTGTTTCTCACACCAGAGAAGCACTGTGATTTAAATATGTGTCTGGTTTATTTTTGTCAGTGTACTTCTTTAAAAAATGATCTTTCGAGGCCAGGATTTAGCTCAGTGGTTCTGCCTCCTGCCTTACTCAGAATGCCAAGTTTGATCCCTGGTAGCAACAACAACAACAACAAAAAAAGCCCCCCCAAATTATCTTTTACATTTTAGCACTGGGGATTGAATCCATGGCCTCTTGCATGCTAAGCATGGCAAACACTCCAGAGTATATATATAAAGAGAGTAATGTGTATGTAACTTTCTGTTGAATCCTAAAAACATTATTATGTTGTTGGCTTGGCTATAGCTTTCTTTTCATAAAATTGAGTAATCCACATCTCTGTATCAGTGACTTTTTCTTTTGAGGATTAAGATGATGTTTTCTGGGCCAGGAATTTAGCTCGGTGGTGCCCCACCTGCCTTGCAAGTGTAAGGTCCCAAGTTCTGTCCCTGTAAGATGTTTTCCTCCCTACTCTTGAAATTTTTCCTTGGTGTACATCTGTTTTTATTGTGCTTAGTGCTCATGTCTAAGAAACTTTACTTTTTCACTTTATAGTGTTTCTTTTCAGCTAACATTGTATCTCCTTATTTGTTCATCATACTACTGTAGTTCTATAGTTGGAGATTTAAAATAAGTTTCTACTTTGATATTTTCATCATTTCCACCACTTTTGTTTGTTGAACTCTTTTTTCTCTTATAGGATGTTGGTTGTCACTTAATATCTGGCAATTTTTTGATTGAGTGTTAGTAAATTAATATGGATTTTATTTGTTACTTTTAGATCTGCCCATTCAGAGTCCATTTTGCTGAATGTGCAAATGCAAAAATCCCATGGACGTGGACTTCTTATTTTGGGAGCCAAAATTATATTGCCTTTTATATTATTTTACAGTTTTACTGCTAAACTATAGTCATTGAGAATACAAGCTTGATACAACCTACTTAGAACATAGTTATGTGATATTTTTAAAAAGATAAAAAATGTTTTCATATATAATACTAATAGCTATCTTTAGGAATCAATATCTATACCCAAAAAGGCATCAAATCAATAGTGTCTTCCAGAAGAACAATAACAAGAGAAGAACTTGATTCTCTATTTGATGAAGAGATGAAATAAGTAGAACGATGAAAAAACATTCACCGATTGGTCACATACAGATTAAGATTATGAAATTGATGACTGGGACTTAAACAGGACTTTGATTGTAACTCAGACAACACCTTTTATGAGAAAACTTCCTGAAGAGACTGAAGGCAGCTGCGTGCCTTAGACAAAACGTACATGAGAAGTTACTGAAGTTATCAGTGATGGCTTATATTACTTTGAGCAGGATCTATGGATGGATGGAAAATGAGAAACAGCCATAAAGGTAATTACTTCTGGCCAACATATTTTTGCTGGTATTTTGTTCTGATTATATGTTACTGCTTATATTAAATTAGAGACCCTATTTTATTTTATTATTTTTTCTTTCTTTTTGGTACCAGGGATTGAACTCAGACCCTTGCACTTGCGAGGCAGGTGGTGGAACCACTGAGCTAAAACCCCGGCCTCTTTTTTTACTTTTTTTTTTTAGAGGCCTTATTTTATGAAATGTTAAATATAAATAAATATTTAATTTGAAAAATTTCTGGAACTATATTTGATAGTCACAATTGAGGAACAATTTCACCTGACAGCATAACAAATACTTTAAAAAATTTAAAAAAGTATTTGCACCCACTGACTAAAACCCTTGCTTTTTTCAGATAAGAACAAGGTTCTTATATGAAGGAATTAAAAACTGAACTTACTGTAGACAGACTTAGTTTTTGTTTTTTTCTTTTTTGGTACTTGGAATTGAACTCAGGTCCTCATGCTGGCCAGCAGTCTGAGCTAGATCCTCTGCCTTGAGACTTAGTTTTTTAGCTCATTTGTAAGTTGGCTGTCACACCAGCTGTATGATTTAGTGGTTTTAAAAGGGATTTATGTTCATGCCCCCTTCATTCTTATTCATCTTAGTTTAAGGTATACTCTTTTTTTTTTTCTTTTCCCGATGCTGGGGATTGAACTCAGGTCCTTGCGCTTGCAAGGCAGGCCACCGAACCGCTGAGCTGAATCTCCGGCCCATAAGGTATATGATTGTGGACAGAGTATAAAAGATGAAATTGGCTGATTGTCTCTCTTGTCCAGTCATCTTTAAGGATGTGATTTGAAAGCATGTTCCAATTTTGTTTTATCTTACACCGAACCGCTGAGCTGAATCTCCGGCCCATAAGGTATATGATTGTGGACAGAGTATAAAAGATGAAATTGGCTGATTGTCTCTCTTGTCCAGTCATCTTTAAGGATGTGATTTGAAAGCATGTTCCAATTTTGTTTTATCTTATTGCATTTCACTCCAGATCCTGGCCTCTATGCCAGTTATTAAGGTAAAATACATGGGTAGCTTACTGGTTATCTGCATTTTTTGATATGACTTACAATGATATAGGTAGGGCTAAAAAGTAATCTTTTTCAGCCATTAAAGTTATCAGAAAAGGTCTTAAACATTTGTTTTGGGGATAGACTAATGAGGGAAAATTATATAACATTATACAGTATACTAAATAGAAACATGACCTTGATTAGAGTTACAGTTATAGAAAGATAAGCTGTCCTGCTAGTGGTTAAATAGAAGACTGCCTGCCACTGGGCTTTGTGTCATGAAGAAGTATGCTTTCTTTTTTGGCTTCTCACTTATTCCTAGAATTTCTTTGACTGCTTTCAATCTCTCACCTTCTCTGAGCACTACCTTTTTGGAGAACCTGCTTCAGGCTATGATATCTTGTTTTTAACTATAGCCTTACCAGGTGTCTGCCTGCCCTGCTGTTGTGGGAAGGGACATATGTTTTATAAACTTGAGAGTTGAAAGTGATTCCTTGTGTAAACATTGTTTCTTAGTTGTGATATGTAGGTTATGTACATAATATATATCTTAAATCCTTTTTGAAAAGATGTAGATAAATTTTACTAACAGGTTAAATTTAGGCACCCACTATTCTCTTCCTTGTTGCATTATTTCACCACAGCATAATTTACTATCAATCTTTCTGTATATTTTATTATTATTCTGTGTGAGCAAATGAGAGTAAGATCCCTGAGACAAGGATTTTTTTTGCTTATTTATTGTTATCTTCAGTTCTGAAACAATTTCTGCCTCAAAATATTATTCAATTTATACTAGTTAAAATAAATGAATTGTAGATTAAATATTATGTACTAACCAAAGAAAAACTAACCACCATGTATAATATTTGACTTGTGGGAAAATGTTTTCAAAAGTTCTAAATAGCAAACTTTTTTTGAGATAAGGTGTATGTAGTTCAGACTTGTCTTGAACTTACTATATTGCCCAACCTGGCCTCAAACTCACATGGATCCTCCTGTCTAATCCCCTGAGGGCTGAAATTACAAGGGTGTGCCACCATGCCTGGCTCTCAAGTCAACTTGAAAAACATGGAATTGGTAGATGATTGTAAACCATAATAGTTTAAAGCTATGTGTTGACTTACTGAGGCAGGTGCTGACCTTGTACATTAAACATTAACCAGAGGACAGTAATATTGGCCATATAACTTTAAACATTATGGATAAATTGCAGATGTTTTTTCTTTTCACCTGATTCTTACCTATATTCCTATCAGTCAACTGAATCTTCCTAGTGGTCCCCCAGCTCGAGCTAAGCAAGTACTCTACCACTTAGCTACATATTCAGCCCTGAACACATAACTTCTGATTAGACATGTACTTTTCATGTGGAGCTGTGTAAAGAGAGACTAATAAGCTATTTAACATGTTCACTGAGTGCCTCTTATATTCTAGGTTACAGTGCTAGTTCTTGAATACAGAATGAAAAAAGATAATAAATATGCATTTATTTGTGCCAGAACTTGTTGATAATTGGGGAACAGACATTAAAATAAACCCACAATATGTACTTAATTAGAAACTATAATCATTTTTCTAAAATTTAAAAGCAAATGTTACTGGATTAGATGGTTAGAGAATTCTCCTGAGAGTCAAATTATGGTGAAATTTGAAGATTAGAAATTAGCCATACGAAGAGAACAGAGACAGTATTCCAGGAAGAGGTATAATAAGTCTGTCTTAAGGGTCAGCAGGGGGAAAGATTTTGACATATTTTAGAAATGAACAGTTTGTCTAACATAAAAAGATAATTATGGTTATATAGGCAGGAATCTGGTCATATTAGAATT